TTAGGAGGGACCAGAGATATCCATGGTCTCGGTAATCCTTGGGAAATGGAGAAGTACCCTTCTGTGGGGGAGTAATAGTAATAATGCATGAACAATAATGTTAATTACACTGATCATTGCTAATATTGTTTATGAAATACGGACTCTGTACCAGGCACTTCCTTTCTATTGTCCATTTCATCCTGGGAAGCAGATATTATTCTCCCCATTTTGCAAATGACAAAACAAGCTCAGAGACACTAAGCAACTTGTCCAAGATCAAATAACTAGTGGTGGGGGTCTGGGGTAGGTGAGTGGAGAGGTGGGTTGAGAGATGAACCCAGACACTCCGGCTTCTAAGCCAGAGCCTCCCTCCCTAGACACCACAGAGAAGGCTTGTGTGGTCAAAGCAGAGGGGTGGCCTGTGGGCATGGAGGAAGGAAATGCTGACCAAGAGTGGGCAGTAGAACTGTTCGAGGCTGGTTGTCCCTCCACCCCACCCCAGCAAGTCAACAGAGGACAGGGAATAGTAGAGTAAAAAGCAACCAGAGGTCTTGGTGCTAAGAGAGATGGTGGGTGGTGAGGGGAACAGGCTAGGGAGATGGAGAGAACTCCAGTGGGGTCACCCAAAGGCCTCAGTTCTAATCAGGGTTGTGCTCGCCACTTGCTGTGTGACTTTGGCAAGTCACTCCCCTCTCTGGGTGTTTGAATGGTTGCTGATATCTCCCTTCACTCTTCTATTTGAGGACACTGGGATGTATTGGGCGACCGGTCACTCCTGTACTTTCCTCCTTCTTGGAAAGATGTAAAAAGTGCAGGTTCCTTCCTGAACTGCCTTCTTGATTTCACAATCTAAGGACTCCCAGGCCACGTGGTGGGTGATGGGAGACTGTGCTCCGCAGAGAACAGGCCGGGAGCTGAGGAGAGAGCAGAACAGAAGGTTTTCTGCCCCAGCTCCATCAGCTAATCAATCACCCAGCCTCTTGTTGCCTTAGAGCCCCAAGGATTACAGGGGCCCTCATGGGAGAACAGCACCTGTGAGTCTGTGGCTGTCTCAGGTAGGGCCTGGTGCTGGGCACAGCTCTGCCACGTGGTCTGGGTTGGTCAGGGGCCAGGGCGTGGCGGAGGGGAGCCGCAAGCTGGCGAAAGCATGTTGGAGGGAGAGGCTCTCTCCTGGGAATGGCTTTGCCTGGGTGACAAGACGAGCCTTGGCTCCTCGGTCAAAGGTCTGGGCTGAGTTCTTGAAGAGGAGAAAGAACTGGCAGGAAAGCTAGGGCATGGGAGTCAAAGAGGCTCCGTTGAATCTGGGCAGTGCTATGCGTTCAAGTCACAAGGTCAGGGGGGAGTCATCTGCACGTAGACCCTTAGGTTCCTCTGCAGAAAAATGGGGGTAATACGTCCCCTCTTGAGAGGTTGGCGAGAGAATCGAATGAGAGCGTATAGAGCCTGACAAAAAGTAGCCCACGAATGGTGGCTGCTAGTGTTACTGTTGCTGTCCCTGCTGCTCATAATAATAACAAGAGCCATCCTGAACAAGTGGAAGGAGCGGAGGCCTGGGAGTCAGGTTTGGCTAAGCCTTAGCTGTGTGACTCCTGTCACCTCTCTGGTTCCTTATCTGTAAGAGGAGGGGGCGGCCCTGGCTGATCTTGAGTCCCCTCCCAGCTCTGACAGCCTCTGGGCTATGAATAGATGGGGCTGGGGCCCCGGAGGAGTTTAATGACTCAACAGCCAGAGAGGTTAAGCTTTCCCAGAAAAGAGTTTCCATTTGCGTTTGATGAACTTAGGGCACAACAAAGGAAGGGTTTCCTGGCTGGGAGGCCAGGGATGAGGGAGCTGGAGGAATCTTTGCAGCCCATGGAGACTGTGACTAACCAGGTGAATGACTAACTCAGACCCTGCTGACCCTCAACCAATCAGGGCTGCCCTAGAGCACCCTTCGAGCTGGCATCACTGAGCACGTCCTGGCCATGCCAATTTTAGCTGGCTCTGGGCTTCACAGCATATGGAGGCAGAAGACGCAGCCAAGAGACCGGCAGGGAAAGAGCACTGGGCTTGGAGTCAGAAGACCCAGCTTGAGGCTCTAACTTTGCTGCTCACTAGCTGCATGACTTTGGGGGACTCCCCTTCCCTCCTTTCCCTCCATGCCTTCATCTGTGCAACAGAGCTAACAATACCCGCCCTAGCAACTTTCTGAGCAGTGAAGGCTGAGAATCAGGAGATGAGATGAGTGTGTACTGGGATCACTAAGTGGCAGGTGCTATCATTTTTCTATCCCGATGTGAGTCCCGGTGCCTCAGGAGACCCGTTGGGGTTCCCAGAAGGGCCAGGTGGACAGAGGCTGTTGCCTCTGGGTTTTGGGTCGCCATCAGTTTCATACAAGGCCCCTTCTGGCCATCTGATCACAACACAGGCAAGCTTGTCTTAGAGCAGAGCCCTTGTGGACATTTCCAGCCAGATGGTGTAGCCAGAGAGAGAGGTGACAAAAAGTCAGGACTGGTTGGGTGGGGCAGGAAGTGGGCAGTGCCTTTCTGGGGCCCCCACAGAACTCAGGTGGTGCTTCGATGTGGTTTTTCCTCTTGCCCAGCGCTATAGCAATAAATATCACCAGAACAGCATTCTGTCTGCTTCTATCCCCAGCTGTTAGCATCTGTCTGGGTAAGGACTATACACACTTTGGGCCAGGATGATGCCTTTTCATTTCTGCACCCCTTCAGCCCCCTCAGTAGCATTCTCTGAGTGCTCATGTGGGCCGCCGGGTCCTGTGCCAGCACTGGGAGGACAGAGATGGGAACCACAGGGCCCTGCCCACACAGAGGTTAATTGCAGTGTGGTTAAAGAGACAAAACACATCCCCTAAAATGTAAATAACCATGTAAGAAAGCCTACACAGTGTCACCCTGGCAGTACCGACAGTGCATCCTGCATTTGTCTAGAGCGGTGGCCTTGGATGGTCTGGGAGACTTCAAGGAGGAAGTGGGATTTGAGCTGGACCTTGGACAAGACAAGGAGAAGACAGAGAAAAACGTGTGCCCGATGGGCACACTTAAGGTGTTCTCAGGAGACAGTACGACAGTTCTCAGGAGTGGAGGGATCATGTCAGTAAGAAGTGAGAAATGAAATCGGAGATAAAGTTAGAGCCAGCGATGAGGGTCATTAAAATTTGAGATAAAGAGCACGGACCAGATTCCACGGGTAGCTGGAAGCCATTGAGGGCTTCTGAGAGGGTATTGGTATGGTCAGAGCTGCACACTGGGGAGTTTCTTTCTGGCAGGGTTGTCTGCAGGGAGCTTGTTCCATGGGGAATAAGGCTGGAGGCAAGGTCGTTTGGGAAGTTACTGTGGAGCTAGGGACCATGGGACTGAGAAAAGGGACACATAATCAGAGGCACCACTTGTGGGAAGAGGGAGGGGGAAGACCTAACTCACTGTTCAGTGCTCCTGAAACCCTGGCAGGTGGCAGGGAAGTGGGAGAGAGAGGCTGCTTTCTGGGCCGGTCTGAGTCTGACTATTCTGCCCTAAACACCAGAGTCAACAGGACCCAGAGGTGCCTCCATTTGGGCCACATCCACTCCTGGGGCCCTTTTCTCTTCTTCTAAGAGGGGAATCCAGAGACTACATAGCAGAGTTCCCCCTGAACCCCAGAGAGGAGTGGAGCCTTGGGCCGAAGTCCTGCAGTGTGTAGACTGCAGGAACAGTGCCCAGTCCTGCCTTTTACCCCCTCAACCTCTGTGGACTCCCAGGAAAACACTGCCATCTTGTCATGGGCTATGCCAAGTGGCGATGAGCCCCCGGGAGCTCAGCCAAGGCAAGGAGAGGGACCAGAGAGAGAAGAAATGGGAAAGATGGAGGCCTGGAGGCATCCCAATGGGCTTTGGGGGAAGGTGGGCTGGGAGCGTGCCAGCCCTGGGCAGAAGGCTTGAGATCATTTTAGCCAACCCTTCATGGTCTGGAGGTGAGCCTGAGACCCAGACAGGAGAAGGGACTCGCCCAAGGTCATGTAGCAGGAAAAATGATGGAGCTGGGCTGGAATCAGAGTCTTGGGACCCGGGAGGAGTTTACTCCTATCTGGACACTTCCGAATAGACTGGAGATTCCGGAACATCCATTTGTGTGCTGTGTGTGTGTGTGTGCCTGTGTCTGCCCTGTGTGTGCTTGTGTGTGTGTACTTGTGTGTACATGTTCCTGTGCCTATCTTATGAGAGAGTCTGGGTGTGTGTGTGGCCTGCCGCACCGCTGTTTGGAGAAGGGAACTGAGGCCATTCCTGTGGGGTGACTGTTTTTCCCGGGACAGCAGAGAAGGCAGACAGAGCTGGATCTGGCTTCCAGCACCAAATCTGCTGCCCTAAGAAAATTAAAGGCACTGGCTGGCTGTGCCCAAACTCTAGGAGCTGGACACACACACACACACACACACACACGCACGCACACGCACACACACACGCGCGCGCGCGCGTGTGTAAACACACACACACACACACACACACACACACACTCCAAGCAGCACTTACAGAGGCAGTTAGAGGGTGTTTTAAGCACCCAGAGTAAACAGGAGTACCATGGAGTACTGCATCCACACGTCTCGCTGGAGCCCCAGACGGTGTAGACACGCCAAGGTGCGGAAGCCCATCTGCCAGGGACACGGAGTCGCGAGCTCCCCGCCGCTCTACACTCAGCTCTCTGCTCCAGGGCCTGGCCCGGCCACACCCCTCCTCCCCGGCCTCCGCCGGTGCTTCCTGCCCCTCTCACACACTTCAGAGTCCCCTGAGGCCCTCGCGCAGCCTGGCAGGGACAAGTTAGGGCTGGCCCGGCCGGAGAGTCAGGTCCGGAGCCAGGAATCGACGCCTCCCCCGAATCCTGTCCCCGAGAGCAGACAAACCAGGCTGAACTCGGGTTTCTGGCAGCGCGGGGTTCGGCGCCTAGACCCTCTCAGGAGGGGATCCCTTCAGCCCCGGCCGGCTCGGGACTACCCCGGGACGCGGCGCCCAGCCCCCGGGTCCCCGCCCCCCGCCGGCGAGTAGTTACCGATGGTGGTGATGACGGTGATGGCGAAGTAGAAGGAGCCGGCGAAGCGCCACTGCACGCCGGCCTTGTGCGGCTTGAGGCGCAGCACGACGCGCTCCAGCTCCTCGTAGCCGCCCTGGCTGAGGTTGTAGCGCGCCCGCAGCTCTTGCTGCCGCAGCTCCAGCCGCTGCCGCTCGATCATCTCCGGCTCCGACTCGAGCGCGTCGAAGACCGCGGCGCCCACCAGCAGGTAGGTGAAGGTGCACACGATGAGCGCCAACGTGCGCACGTTCTGCCGCTTCATCGTCCCGCCCGAGCCGCCGCCGGCCCCCCGGCGCCCCCGGCCCGCGCCCCGGCCCCGGCCGCCGCTGCTGCTGCCCCGGAGGCGGCCTGGGGCATGGCTGCGCTCGCCGCTCCCCAAGCCGGGCACCCGCTCCGCGCCCCGGGGCCGCCGCCGCCAACGCCGCCGCTGCCGCCGCCGCGGAGCTGTCCCTTCAGCACCACCCACCGCCCTCCTCCGCCCGGCCCCGCTCCCGCCCCCCGCCCCCCGCCCGCAGGCCGCCTCCTCCCGCCAGCCCTCCCGCCCAGCCAAATAAGGACTGGGGAGACGCGCCGAGGGAGGGAGGAGGGGGGCTGGCGGAGGGGGAGGAGGGGGAGCGAGCGGGAGAGCGGCGGAGAGACCGGGCAGGACCGAAGGAGAGAGACCCAGGGAAAGAGATAACTAGACAGAGAATCGCCTGTAACTACAGAGAAAGAGAGAAAAAGAGGCGCAGGGGGGTGTGACAGATAAGGAGATAAAGCCAGAGGGAGATTCACAGGCACAGAAAAAGAAGCGGCAGGCAGAAAAATACAGAGCGAGAGAGGCAGAGAGCGAAAGATGGAAACAGAAAGAGCGACAGAGACAGGGAGACCTGGGTTGCTAGAGATAAACTGACGACGGAAAAAGAAAAGCAAGGAAGGGAAAAAGGAACAGGCAGAGCGAGCCCTCCCCCCCCCCCGCCCCCCCCCCCCCCCCCCCCCCCCCCCCCCCCCCCCTCCCCCCCCGCCCCATCTCCACCGAAATCACAGCATGCTTTCGCTGGAAGGGACCTTGGGTCCTGCTGTCCTGCCCTTTATTATGTCCATGGGGAAACTGAGGTGCAGAGAGGTCAAGTGACATGCAAGGACACACGGTGAACTAGTGCCAGCACCGGGACTCAGCCATGCTTCCCTCCGCCCAGGCCACACCCCCCCCTCCCAGCACCACTCTTAGAAACAGCAGGGCACAGCTGTGGACCTGGGCAGGCCAGGGCCGACACCCAAGGGAAAGCCCTGCTTTCATGAAATGTGACCCTTCCCAGGTCAGCACGGCTCCTGGAACTGGCTGAGAAAGCCCAGGCTGGCAGCCGAAGCCAGTAGTGCTGAATCCCAGGCTCGCCTCCTCTCTTCCTCCTGGGCTGTGGCGCTCTCTTAACTTCCGCAGCCTCAGCCCTGCACCAGTGGCCCAGCCTGGGCTGCCAGAGATAATGCAGGACCCCAACAGGGCAGCATCCCAACAGGACAGGGATCCAGCTGAAAAAAGGCAGGTGTGGCCCAGACCAGGAGGCTGGCTGAAAGACTGGGGGGAAGCAGCAAGCCTCTCTGTGCCTCAGTTTCTTCTTTTGTCAACATGGTGGCAGTGGTGGTGAGGAGGGGCGGGCTGTGGGACCTCAGATGAGGCGTCGCTGCCCCTCTCTGCGTCTCACTTCCTTATCTCCTCGATGAGGTGCCATCACAGAGGATCCCACAGGCCTTGTTTAGCTCCAGACAGGGACGGGCTGAGTAAGCAGAATGATTGGAATGCAAATCCCTCTGCCAAAGAGGGTCAGAAAGTGGTTCACGGGACCCTGGCATGGGCCAGGAGGAAAGACAGGGAGGAGGCCCCAGGGCCCCTGGCGGAGGGTAGGTGGAGGACGCAGCCCATCCAGAAGCAGGAGAATCGTTGGCCCTCAGCCTCGTCCGACCCCGCACGGCCAGGCATTTCAGTGCCTCTCGAGAAAAACTACCAACCCCACTGCCTCTTTCAGCCGTTGTTCGGAGAGAATGTACCAGTCATCTACTGTGTGCCAGGCTAGGCAGGTTACATTTATTATTTCCAGTCTTACCACAACCCTGAAGGGTATGCATAGGTCTGTCCATTTTAGAGACAGAGAAACTGAGGCGAAAGGCAGTGCAGAGAACTGTCCAAGATCGTTCAGCTGGAAGAACCTTCAGTCTGCCTTCCAAACAAACCCATTCTCTTCTCCATAATGACTCCTGGAGACTTAGTTTTTTGTTTGTTTGTTTGCTTTTCGTTTGTTTGTTTGTTTCACCTGTAAATGGAGTAGCTAATTATACTAGAGTCTTTGATCTGATACAAACTTTCTGCACCCTTGGCCATGAACTCAGCCTACAGCAGGCCCTCCCCCTCTGGCATTGCCTGGCTTCCTGGAAGACAAGCGCTGCATTTCCTGGCTTCCCAGAGGTGAGGGCGCAAGTTAGGTTCTGTCCTCCTGGCCACAATTGCCCCCCAAGCCAGTTTCCCCCAAGCCCATCTAAATGAGCAAGGCTCAACTGGTCTGGTTTTTGGTGTGAAGGGCTGTGTGTCCAGGGTCGGCTCACTTCTGGCTGTCAGGCCACACTGCTGTGCAGATGAAAGGTGATATTATGAGTGAAAGAGCTTTGGAAAAAGGAAAAAGCTCTCTTTAGGGGCAGGGCATTTATTATTGATTATGGTGAAGCTTGTTCTCACAGCATTCAGAACTAGAAGGACCTTTAAAGACCAGCTAACCTGATCCTTTCATGTTACAGATGAGGAAACTGAGGCCCAGAGGGGAAGAAGGGGGTTGCTCATAGCCACACAGGGAGTGAAGGGGGCCAAGACTTATGTCCCATGGCTGGGGTCTCTCCTGTAGCCCCCATATGTATGGGATCAAGACACCTGCAGGCAGGGGAGCATAGAAGGTCCCCAGTGTCCATGGAGCCCAGGAAGTCAGCTTAGGTCTACTCTCCTGTCCCTTCTACCTTTCTTCTCTTCAGGAAGGGGGACTGGCTGGGGCAGGGGGAACCAGGCCAGTGCCAGTCTAAGTTTCTGAGTAGGCCCTGGGTCCTGCAGGCAGGAGTCCCATCAGCTCATCCCTGACCTGTGTGGGATAGTGCCAAAGATCTAGAAGCCTATCTCACCCCCTCTGTCCAGGACTCCTGGGACCTGCATGTACGTTCCCTCATGGGGTTGCCTCACCCTCTGCCCAGAGTCACATGTCAGAAAGCACCTCTATGAATCATGTACTTATAAATGATAAAATCTGCTCAGCTATGACTTTTCCATGTTCTATTATTTTCAATCCCTCGGTGACTCCTGTGGAGGATGCCTTGGGCCGGTTAGAAAGAGCTGATTTACACGCCTCCAATCACGATACTGGCTGGCCTCCTGTGTGATCAGTTTCTGAAATCTGATCCAGTATAGAGAACATGGGGTGGAGAGTTGGGGGGCCTGGGCTGGGGTCCTGTCCCTTCCACCTGCTTCCTGTGGGACTCAGGCCAGTCACTCCTTCTCCCTGGGCTTTGGTTTGTACATCCATAAATGGAGTGGTTTGGACGGGACGTGTCTATGCTCCCTTCATTTATAACATCCCATGACCTTCCTGGACTGCTTCTGCTTCCTTAGTTCTTCCAAGAATCAGGTGCAAAAAGGATTTAGTCACTACTTTTAAGACTTTAGTTGGCGAGGAAGAGGACACAATCAGAGTTAGGATAATTGGTACAGAATGTACCATTAGCTGCTGCATATTATTATGTACTAAACATTATACACGTATTATTTTCTACTTTGTCTTCCATGTCATTCCTCTCTAAGCTCTGGACACATCTAATGAATTTCATGCATTACTTCTGACTCATGAGACTCCCATCAGCTGGGATGCTGGTACTTCCTTGACTCTTCCATTGTTTATCTATGGAACTCATGTTCAGGCTTCAAGACCCAACTCAAAGCCCACTACCTCCATGAACCATTCCCCATTACCTCCAATCAGAACCAATAGCTCTCTTGTGGTTCCATCGCACCTCGTCTAAGCTTCAATTCAGTAGACATTCCTCCTACCTGGTAGACTGGTCAGTTCTTGAATATCTGTCTTCCCCACTGGCTCATTATCTCCTCCAGGGTGGAGACCCTCCTTATCCTACGCCTCCCCACAGTGGGGAACCCAGTGCTTTGCACATCAGAGTTATTCTACATGTCTGTTGTGCATTCAGTACCCAGCCAAGTCCTTAAAGCCTCCTACACCTGCTGGGTTAGAGAGCAGCAGTGTCAGCGGGGATAGGAGCACAGACAGCAGAGTCTGTAGGGAGAAAAACAAGGCAGTTTGCTTCTGTGACTCTGTCAACAGACACTTCTAAAATGGAAGCAAGCCCTGCCTGGCTGAGGGAAAGAGGTAAAGACCCATGGGAGTGTCCTAAGGTCCAAGGGCGCATGTGGAGAGAGCACTGAAGTGGGAGTCTAGACACCTGGAATTTGGTCCCAGTTGGGGCCAACTAGCAAACAGTTGGTGGACTTGTGGGAGTGTCCCATCGCCTCTCTGGACCTCAGCTTCCTTTCTACAGGATGAAAGGGTTGCCTACCGCAAAGATTCCCCTCTGTCTGACATTTTGCGAGGTTAATGAGAGATCTGACCCCGTGATTAGCGATGATCGTCCTACAATGGCCAAGAATGTGGTCTGAGGGATGAGGGGCCCAGAGTCCTCTTCGTCCATTGTTTTCCACCATCCCATGTCCTTGGGTACCCTATGTCCTTGGCACCCCCCGGTCCCCACTGGCTGGAGGATGGGGGCAGGGGGCAAGGTGGGGAGTAAAAGAGTTGACCCTGAGTCAGACAAACTCAGGTTCAAATTCTAACCCTATTCACTACTAGTTGGACGGGAGCTTCACATGACATTCTGGTTCATCTTGTTTTACCAGATCATAAGCTCCCGCAAGGCAGGGGTAAGGCCTTACTCATCTACTCGTCTCGGAATAGGGTCTGTGGTTTGCTGTAAGAAGGAGTACCCCAAATGATCTCAATATCCAGTGAGGAGGAGGCCTGAGAATGGGGGGCCTGGTGGGTCCAGGAGCTGCAGCCAGCTCTCGTTGGTGGAGAGTGGCACCAGGGATCGTGGCCTCCGATCGTGGCCGATGGCTGGTTGAGTGGATTCGGGGTACTTGGGGGATGACTGAGGTGTTTCTTGGTGTATTCCTGAGGGAAAGACATGGAGGATTAGCCTGGATTTACAAAGCATAACCAGTCCCAGAGCAGCCGGCTTGCATTTGTCAAGAGACACTATTTGTTTAACATCTCAAGCCCAAACCAAACACAAAAGGCAGCTGTTCACAAAGGAGAGCCTCTGGGAGCCGTTGGGGAGACAGTGTCGTGCTAGGGGGTGGACACCTGGCTCTGTTCTTAGTCCTGCGGCAGAGGAGCTGGGGGAGCAGCTCCGGATACCAACTTGGGTCTCCTACA